AGTGAGGGTTAGAAATCTGAATTTCTCTCTAGTTCCAGTTGTTTCAGCACAACATTTCTGGAATGGATGCTGGTGTACATTCCAGGAAATTAAGCCTCATTCTGGAGGAAAACCAGACTTTTTTTTTTTTAAAGCACACGCCACCCACCTGGGCATTGAAGCTGTCGGCGGCCTTGGGGGGGTCGTTCTTGCTGTCACCAGCAACGTATCCACGACGGATTTCCTTGACGGACACGTTCTTGATGTTGAAGCCGACGTTGTCGCCGGGGACGGCCTCAGGCAGGGACTCGTGGTGCATCTCCACAGACTTGACCTCAGTGGTCAGGTTGGGGGGAGCGAAGGTGACGACCATGCCGGGCTTCAGGACGCCGGTCTCAACACGGCCCACGGGGACAGTTCCAATACCTGAGAGGGCGGACCCGCGTTTAGACACAGAACCACACTTATACACTTACGTATAAGCCAAAAAAGATGCATCTTACCGCCGATTTTGTAGACGTCCTGCAGGGGCAGACGGAGGGGCTTGTCGGTGGGGCGAGAAGGTGGCAGGATGGCATCCAGGGCCTCCAGCAGGGTGGTTCCACTGGCGTTACCCTCCTTGCGCTCAATCTTCCAGCTCTTGAACCAGCTCATCTACAACCAGAGGAACAGAATTAATGATATACCAACATAAAACTAAATTTAGCAGCATCTGTCAGAGTGGACGCTCACCTTGGAGCTGGCCTCCAACATGTTGTCTCCATGCCATCCAGAGATGGGGACGAAGGCGACAGCGGCAGGGTTGTAGCCGATCTTCTTGATGTAGGTGCTCACTTCCTTTTGGATTTCCTCAAAACGGGCCTGGCTGTAAGGGGGCTCAGTGGAGTCCATCTTGTTGACACCAACGATGAGCTGCTTCACACCCAGGGTGAAAGCCAGCAGGGCGTGCTCACGGGTCTGTCCGTTCTTGGAGATACCAGCCTCGAACTCACCGACGCCAGCAGCTACGATCAGCACGGCGCAGTCAGCCTGAAAACATATGACACTTAGATTCAGGCCCAAGCTAAATGGATCAGTCAAAATCTGAGTAGGAATAAAGTAATTACCTGAGAGGTTCCAGTGATCATGTTCTTGATGAAGTCCCTGTGTCCGGGGGCATCAATGATGGTCACATAGTACTTGCTAGTCTCAAACTTCCACAGAGCGATGTCGATGGTGATACCACGCTCACGCTCGGCCTTCAGCTTGTCCAGCACCCAGGCGTACTTGAAGGAGCCCTTTCCCATCTATAGAAATAGAACAATGCTTTAATGATCACTTCACTAACATTTGGATGCTTTTAACCAATCCTGGATTATTGATGTGTGATACTCAAGATCAAAGCATTTAAATACACTGAGGGATATTCATAAAAATTAAAACCAAATCAATACATGATTCAATTTCACACAACTTCACCATTTGTCCTTTTCAAAGAAACATCCATGGTAAAAAATAAAAAAAAATTAATGAGGGTTTAAACAATTTTCTTTTCTAAATCAAGTTTATTCTCGATCTTTTCTCCATACAGCGGCCTTCAGGCCCCCGCTGAACAGAAAGTGCATCGTCACCATTTACAATGTCCGCCGTCAAGCCCCACCCCGCCTGCGTACGTGCGCGCACACGGCTGCGCTCCACCCTCGTGCCGGGCAGCTGAGCTCACAGGAGGCACGCTGGCGCCGCCATCTTGGAAACGACTAACGGCTCAAAAAAGATAAAATGTAGCGCGAGCACTCACCTCGGCTGCTTCCTTTTCGAACTTCTCGATGGTTCTCTTGTCGATTCCTCCGCACTTGTAGATCAAGTGGCCGGTGGAGGTGGACTTTCCGGAGTCGACATGGCCAATGACCACGATGTTGATGTGGGTCTTTTCCTTTCCCATTGTGTTAGTTTCTGTGAAAAAGGGAGAAAATGTATGTAAACGGCTAACGGCCACATTCCAACACGTATTTTTCAGTTAGGGTGGCGGAAGAGTATAGGGTAAAAAAAAGGGGGGGGGGACGTTCACCGAACAGCGGCGTACTGGGCTTGGTTCACCACTCCCTCGAGTCATTTTAGTAATAAATATTTTTTCAAAAACGACCATATTAAAAATATCGACACATTCAAGCGAACCGTGCCAAAATTAACAACACTTTTAGTCGTTAGTCGGCGGTTAAAGGGCAGTTGGGGCCGGCGAAAGGCGGCGGCTACCGCTAGGCCTCACTCGGCCACAGGCCAGCCGAGACACGTGTTACTCCCAGAGCCACGTCGGATAAAGTTACAAAGATCGCCAAATATTCAGGGGCTATCTGGTCCAGGCTTCCCAACACCTGTCGCTGGAAGTATGTCCAGTTGTTTCAAAGGAGGAGAGGGAAGAAATACCAGCCAAGCATCCTCGGATGTCAGTTTTCCCAGACTCCTTTGTTCCCTTTTCCCCCACATTTTCTCCTCCCTGGTTTATCCTCCATTGTCCAAAAAGTTTTGAGTACTATTATTTAGGCCCCACGCAATTAACATCCATTTGGGATATGAACCACAGCCGTAATCACATTTCTTTTCAAAGCGATTTTTAGCGATAAATCCACAGGTTAGCGTCAAGTTACATAACGGAAAAAAACTTCTGCTTTCACGTCGTTTAACAAAAATGGAGGGACTTCATAACAGGCGACATAACTAAAGATACGTCAAATAGTTCCGGGCCCGGGTCTGACTTTCTGTCCAGCTAATGAATCAGAGGTGGACTTACCGGTGTTTCTGGGTTATCACGGCCAAAGCTGCTGCCCCTAGCCAGGTAACAGAAAGAGGACGATTGGGGCCGGACTGGGAGGTTTTATACTGGATGGGAGGCGGCTTGACTTCCCGTCGCCCTCCGCGGTGCAAACCCCGCAAATCACACACATTCTTGCAAAAAACGTCAGCACGCCGCCGGATGAAACGCCTCACAAACATGTATGAAGGCTCACGGAAAGGGATGGCGGCGCCCATCAGCTCCGACCACCGAGAAAAAGCCTTAAAATAACCACTCAAACATTCAAATCTAACTTTTTTTTCTGCCTACCTGCAAACTTTGAGCAGTATTAGCTCACATAAGGCAGGAAACAGTTTTAAGTGTCGTTCTAAATCAAAATCGGGCACAAATATTGGGATAATTATGCTTATTTTTGTTGTGATGATGTGAGTTTTGAACCTGAACATGTAAAAGTGGAGTGAATACCCATTTTTATTTTAAAAAGTGAGACTTTTTAGCCAAAGGCAATGTCATGCAGCTGATCAGAACTCACTTATTATTGGATTATTTATTAGAATTTCTGTGTAAAAGGCTTACAAACATCATTCAGATGTAGAAAAAACACACTTTAGACGACATGGACCCCCTCCTGCTCCCCCCCCATAGTCCCACCCACCGGTAACTCAGGGACGCTCATCCCCCCGATTAGATTATCTAAATCCGAGTGGGAGATTTGCATTCAAACAGAGGCCAGACTGTGAAAAGATGAACTCCTGCTGTTCTTGAGACACTTTATCTCCCATGCATTTACACTCCCTGCACACGCATATGCAGGAGTCTGATTGAATTAAAAGTCAATTGGGAGCCATTAATGTGCTGGTTTATTTCATAATATTCCTCTTGTTTGAAATAAAACAAGCTTAGGAAAGTTAAGCTCAGTCGGGTTCCCGTCTTGTGTTCCTTTCTGTGCAATGAAGCCATGTAACACATCTAATCGATCCAGGTTTTGAATAAGATGCATTGAAACTGGCGTGATGGGACAGGA